GTCTCCTACAGTGTTGGAAGAATCTACCACCTGGGTGACCCTGGCTCCAGCCTCTTCCTCCCCGCTGGGGCCCTTGATCTGCCACCTAAAGGGCCACCTGTCATCAGTACCCCACTCTAAGCTTTAGCTTAGACTCAAGAGACAACATGGTGGACACTTACCAGCACTCCTATTATGGCCGTGACCTTGAACCTCAGCTCCTGGTTATGCTTTGTTCCCTTCCTCTGTATCCTCTACTGGTAATGTGAATGCTCCGGGCTGGCTTTTCTAGCCCAAAGACTAGAATCCTACTTTTAACCCAGTCCAGTAGCTAGAGGTCATGATGGGGACCTCCGGGTACACTCTGTTACTGTATTATTTGTCCTTCAGTATTCCCATGCCATCCACTTACGCCACCATCATTTTTGGAAACTGTTTGTTTTTTTGTTTGTGTTTTGGTTTTGGTACCAGAGATTGAACCCAGGGGTGCTTTACCACTATGCCACATCCCCAGCCCCTTCTTATTTTTCATTTTGAGATAGGGTCTTGCTAAGTTTCTTAGGGCCTCACTAAATTGCTAAGGCTGGCTTTGTTTGAGCTTGCAATCCTCCTGCCTCAGCCTCCCAAATTTCTGGGATTACAGGGATGTGTCACCACATCTGTTTTAGAACCTGTTCTGCAAGCTCAGTTGGATTTACCTCTAGCAATAAAGCCTTCTGAGCCACTCCCTTGTTCCTATTCTAACTGGCTTTAGAACTTACAGCTGCCTGATGGCACATCTGACATATAAAAGGTCCAACATCCTCAGGTCAAATTCACAGCGACAGTGATCATCTTTTAAACGTACATGTCCTCCACTCCTACTGCTTTTTGTTTTAATGAAGCATCGGGAACTTCAGATGTTATGATACATTCAAAAAGACGCAAGTCATCATAACTCACCACTAGTAGTTACCTTCTAATCAAGCAAAGAATGGGAGAATTGTCCCCAAGTCATTTCTATTATTGACATAAATGACATTGAGTTTTTAGGTTTAAGAGGAAAGAAAGAGGAGAGAAATGGGCTGCAGATTAGATCTATCAAATCAGCCCACACTGGGATGAGCCACTCTACCTATAAGGAACACCAGCCCGGCATGGTGGTACATGCCTGTAATCCCAGCACCTTGGGAGGCTGAGGCAGGAGGATGGAGAATTCAAAGCCACCCTCATCAAAAAGTGAGGCACTAAACAACTCAGTGAGACCCTGTCTCCAAATAAAATACAAAATTGGGCTGGAGATGTGGCTCAGTGGTTAAGTGCCCCGAATTCAATCCATGGTACCTCCCACAAAAAAAAAAAAAAAAAAAAAAGGAACACCATCTTCACAATGATCATTTAACAACAGCATGGTAAACATCTCCAGGCCACGCAACAACCAAAACCGATTGAACACATTCCAACTGTTCTATTTGGCAGGAAAGAATGAAAGACATTTATTCTTCAGGATGAGTAATCGCACATGATTGCTCTGTTCTTTTCTTTCCATTTCCAACACCAACCTGGTACAGACCCTGCACTCTACCCACTAAGGAATGTTGCTGCAGCACCTGGTTGGTGCCCCTGGCTTGGTGCTCTCCCATCTGAAGCCATTCTCCTCTAGCCTAAAACAACTCTCCTAAAAGGAAGCTGGGATTGAATTACTCCTGTGCCAGTAGCCCCCACATGCTCCCTCAACAATAAAAGGCCAGCCCACCTCCTCCAGCAAGAATCATCTCCAGCCAGCCTGGCTCTTTCCCTCACAGATGTCACCTCCATCATGGCCTGAGGGCTCTCCTCTGCTCCCTCCTGATACCCACCCCCCCAACAAATACTTTCCCCAGTAAATCTGTCTCCTCCCATCTCCATGTCTGCTTCTTTGAACTAACATAAATGGAGACTGAAAAACAAATAAAAACCAAAATTTTCTGGACAAGTCTGTAAATTCATCCCAGACCACCAAGAGTTGGAAAACGCTTCTCCAAAGGAAATTCTCACACAAAACACTCCAAGATTCTCAATTTACCCATAATCTAGCACATTCTTCCTCCTGATGGTTACATTCTCCCAGGTTCCAGACATGAATCCTAAGCCTCAACAGGTTGAATGAAATGTCTGAAGGTCACAGAGCTCAGTGATAAAATCCGGGTTCCTGTTTTAAAGTCCCATTGTTCATCCAACTGCACTTCAGTGAATTTGAAATAAATCATAGGTGTTTGGTTAAAGGTATGTCACCATCTAATGTAAGGTAGTTAAACCATTATCCCCCTCCTCCTCCTCCTCCTCCTCATTTCTCCCTGAGGCTCTTTGCAGGATGAATCTGTCAGACCAAATGTGGAAGACAGGATAATGACCCCCAAAGATGTCCCTGTCCTCATACCCGCAACCTCTAATTATGAAAGCTTGGATGGAAAAGGGAGCTTCACAGATGTGATGAAATTAAGGTTCTCAAAGAGTAAAGTTACCCTGGATTATCCCATGGGCCCTGTGTAGTCACAAGGGTCCAGGATGCCAGATGACCAGAGTCAGAGAAGATGTGAGAAAAGAAATAGAAGTCGGAGAGCCAGTGAGAGTTTCCACTGATGCTACTTTGCTGGCTCTGAAGATGTCAGGGATTACAACCAAGGAATACGAGGAGCCTTTCACAGATGGAAAAGGCTAGGAAACATCTCCCCCAGAGCCTCCAGAGGGAACATGGCATAGATGATACCTTGATTTTAGAACTTTTGACCTCTGGAACTGTAAGAAAATAAATCATGGTTGTTTTAAGCTGCTAAGTTTGTGGTCATTTGTTAGAGCAGCAACACGAACCTAATACACTGAATACTCTAGACACCCACCACTAGAACACTCACCCAGCAAACATATATATACATGTACACAGGTATATGCACACAGACAAACCTTCACACTTTAGCCTCAACCTGCACTTGCAGTCTCACGGGTTTTGAGTTTATTTGTTTGTTTGGTGCTGGGGAGTAAACCCAGGGGTGCTACATCCCCAGTCCTTTTTATTTTGAGACAGGGTCTCTCTAAGATGCTGAAGTTGGCCTGGAACTTGCGATCCTCCTGCCTCAGCCTCTTGAGTCACTGGGATTACAGGCATGTGCCACTGTACTGGTGGTTCTTGCAGGTTTCCATCCTATCCCCTCCTCCCAGTACTGTCCAGGATACCCTTAAGGACCCTCAATTTCCAGTTCTTGATTTCTGCGGCTCTAATCTGCTTACCAGTGGAGTTGTGCTTTTTATTAAACAAAAGGAAAATATCAGATTTCCCTAGTCCATGCCCAGGAGTTCCTCAGAAAGAAGATATAAAGTACATTATATCAAAGACTGGAAAAAGCTCAGCTTCCTTAAAAATCAACACACATACCAGATGCCCATACCTGTATTCCCAGCAATTCAGAAGGCTAAGACAAACGATTTCAAGTTCAAGGGCAGCCTCAGCAATTTACCAAGACCCAGAGCAACTTAGTGAGAACTTGTCTCAAAACAAAAAATTTAAAATAAAATGACTGGGAATGTAGATCAATAGTAGAGCATCCCTGAGTTAAATAAATAAATACACAATAAATGTGAACTTCTGCCCAAGAAGCTTTATAGAAAAGTAGATTACCCACAGTAACTTTCTGAGATGACTGTTTGGAGACCCCCTCCCCCCCCCCAAAAAAAAAGAGAGAGAGAGAGAGAGAGAAAAGCTTTCCTGCCCTGCTTTGGAATCTCACCCCCTATGCTTGGGAAACTTTGGGACTTCAAGTACAGCAAGACTCTATGTGGTAGCTTCTCTGGCACTTAACAAGGAGGGGGGAAGCCTGGATACAGGATACCCTATGGGAACCATCACAGAAGTCTGTAGGTAGAACAGAGACTGAAGGACAGCTGACAAAATCCCAAGGATATGTCACAGGACCCAATTCAAAGGATTCACAGGATCACTGGAGTTAGCAGTAATTGTTCTGTGACACCGTCAGCAAAGGGTCCATTGATCTCTGCTTCCTTAGAGCTGATTATTGTCAGGAAAAGTAGGAAAGAACTTCATGATAGCCCTGGCAATTTCCAGCCTGGGGTCTGATTACATAATTCTCCCCTGAGTGGGGGGGTCATAGACTCTACTGCATTAGATAGCTTAGCAAATGAATTTATAAACTGCCTGAGCAAAGGATGCTTTAGTTAATACCTCATCGGAGAATTAACATTTAAACGCCTATCTCATCCAAGCATATGATCAACTTTCAATCAGGGATATAGAGAATAGAGAAGGAGGACTACACGAATAGTGTTTATATAGTCAGTGATAACCTAGGGATTTCAAAGATTTTTACTCAGCCAAAGGAAAATAATAATGTTTGTGAAAGCTGTGGAAGAGAAATTATTTGGTGAGCAAAGGTACAGAGTATTTAGAAAAAGTATCTTGCCTCATATGTAATGCTTCACAGTACCTGATACCTTCTTTTTAATAAAAAAGCTGGGTGAGGGGGTGCACGCCTATAACCCCAGTAGCTCAGGAAGCTGAATCAGGAGGATCACAAGTTCAAGTCCAGCCTCAGCAACTTAGTGAATCCCTAAGCAACTTAGCAAGAACCTGTCTCAAAAAAAATTAAAAAGGGCTGGGGATGTGGCTCAGTGGTTGCTCCCCTGAGTTCAATCCCTGGTACCAAAAGAAAAAAAAAAAAAAAAAAAGTAAAGCCCTTACAGACACAACATCAAAGATAAGAACCACGAAAGAAATTAGTCATTGAAAGCTAGTGAACAATTCTGAGAAAGAGAAAAAGGAGAGAAGAAAAAGCAGGGATCTGGGGCGGGTGGAGAAAAGGGAAAAGAAAAGAGAGAGAAGAGAGGGAGGGAGGGAGGAAGAGAGAGGGAGAGAGCGCGCATGTGCGATGAGCAGTAGCTGTGGACCTAACAGTTGCTGCTAACTGCCCTGGGGTGTGCGAGGGGGAGAGAGAGAGGGAGGGAGGGAGAGAGCCCTAGCGGGAGAGAGAGAGTGAGCAAGCGAGCTAGAAGAGAGGTGGAGGGGGGAGGAATAAGAGAGAGGAGGAAAGGAGAGAAGGCAGGAAGAAGGCAAGGGACGATACCAGCATGCTGTCCTGTCTGAGAACCAAACCGGTGGGAAAAAATGCTGAGGACCAAAAGACTGAACAAGACAGAATCAAACCAGAAGACAGAGCTCAGAGGGCCGCGACCAAGATTCAGGCTCGCTTCCGTGGGTACATAACAAGGAAAAGGCTCAGAGGAGAGAAGAAGGGCGATGCCCAAGCTGCTGAGGCCAAAGCCGAGGAGAAGGAGGAGGGAGCCCTCGCTGCCGACGGGGTGGGGACGGAGGAGGCACAAGGCCCGGCTGCCCAAGCGGCCCCGGCCACTGGCCCCGAGGCCGAGGAGCCCGGCAAAGCAGGAGACCCCCCTTCCGAGGAGAAGCAAGCGGAGGGCGCCCCCGAAGGTGCCCCCGAGCAGGCAGCCACCCAGGTTCCTGCCCCCTCGGAGGAGATGGCCGGCTCCGCTAAAGCGGAGTTGTCCACCCACAACTCGCCGTCCTCCAGGGCAGAAGTCGTGCCCGCTAAGGAGGAGCCACAACCAGCCGACGTGCCTGCTGCTGCGGCCACCACCCCTGCTGCAGAGGACACTGCCCTCGAGGCAACAGCCCAGCCTCCAACGGAGACGGCCGAGAGCAGCTAAGCTCCAGAGAAGATAGAAACTGTAGATGAACCAAACCTAAGGACAGTGGCCCGCAGGATGAGGGTCACGAAGAACGGGAGGCTGACCAGGAACATGCCTGAATTCTAGGAAATGGCTTTCCACGTCCCCACCCTCCCCTCTCCTGAGCCCTGTCTCTCCTGCCCTCTCTCAAATCCACTCTGAAGTTTCCCTTCCTGTCCTGCTCACGTCTGTGAGTCTGTCCTCTCCCTCCCACTAGCCCTCTTTCTGTGTGGCAAACATTTAAAAAAAAAAAAAAAAAAAAAGCAGGAAAGATCCCAAGTGTGGCTTAAACATTTTTTTGTTCCTTGGTGTTGTGATGGCAAATTTTTGGTTATGATGATCCAATCATTTGGGGGGAAATTCTTGCACTGTATCCCAGTTTTTTGATCTGGTACGTATGGCCCTGTGGGAGTCCACTTACCTCTCTCTCTGTTCCAAGTGTGTGTGCAATGTTCTGTTCATCTGAGGAGTCCAAAATATTGAGTGAATTCAAAACCATTTTGGTTTTTCTCCTTTTCAATGTGATGGAATGAACAAAAAGGAAAGAAATTCAAAAACCCAGTTTGTTTTAAAAATAAATAAAGCAAATGTGCCAATTAGCATTTAAAAAAAGAACCATGAAAGATAAAATTGATATACATGATCATACAATTTTTTTTTCATTTTGTAGGTCAAAGAAATTAAGTAAAATTAAAAGCACAAATAGGAGAAATAATTACAACATAGAGGTGGATGTTCTTAACATACACAGACCTCTTTCCTGGAGAAAAGACACACTCCAGAGAGGCAAGCAAACAAGATGTTATGGTTTGAATCTGGAAGGTTCCCCCAAAGGTTCCTGTGTTAAAGGCTTGTCCCCCAATGCAGCAGTGTTCAGAGGCAGGGCTCTTGGGAAGGAATTAGATCAGGAGGGCTCTGACCTCATCAGTGGATTAGTCCATTGGATTGAAAATATGGCATTATTGGTAGGTGATGGAAACCGTAGGAGATTGGACCTACTTGGAGGAAGTAGGTGACTAGGGCTTGCTCTCACTCGCTGGTGCTCTCTTTCTCTCTGCATCCTGGCTGCCATGAGCTAAGTAGCTTTTCTCTGCCATTCCCTTCTGCCATGTTGCACAGAAATGGAGCCAAGTGACCATGCACTGAAACTCTGCAACCATGAGCCAAAGTAAATCTTTGTTTGGTTGTTATTGCTGCTGCTGCTGCTGCTGCTGCTGCTGCTGCTGCTGCTGCTGTTTGGGGGGTTTTTGGTTTGGTTTGGTTTGTTTGTTTTTTTGTTTGTTTTGTCTTGTTTGGGTACCAGGGATAGAACCCAGAGGCACTTAATCACTGAGCCACATCTCTAGCCTTTTTTTTTTTTTTTTTTTTTTTTTTTTTGATACAGGGTCTCCCTAAGTTGCTGAGGCTGGCTTTGAACTCGCATTCCTCCTACTTCTGCCTCCTGAGCTGCTGAGATTACAGGCAGTTTGTCCCAGCAACAAACGCTGACTGACACATGAGCCAAAAGAAGGAAAATGAATGATCTATGTATATATAAGTAATATCTAACTTTATTAATCAAGAAGCACAAATTAAAACATTAAGTTGTCCCATCAGGTACACTTTTAAAATGGATGGACACCTTCTCACATATCACTGTAAAAATAAAATGTAACACAATATTTCTGAACAAAAATTTGGAAAAGTACATTTAAAATCTTAAAATACGCATTCTCTTTTGAGCCAATAATCACTTCTAACACTGATCACTTCATTTCTATTCTAAAAAAAAATCATGAGGGATGTGAGTGAAGGTAAGCATTTTTAATGGTGAAAAAAGTACTTAAATATTTGAAATTAGGAATTTCATACATTATGATAAATCAAGCAATAGGATTCCATATAACTACTTAGAGAATTGTGTTTTACATATTGATTATAGAGAAATAGTCATGACGTGTTGTTAGGCAAGAAAAGGAAGTACAAATAGTAGATACAGTGTAGTCTGTTTTTGTGAGATAGATTAGATAGATAAATACAGAAAGAAGCTAGGCCCAGAAGCCCACACCTATAATCTCAGCCACTCAGAAGGCTGAGGAGGAGGATCACAAGTTCAAGGCCAGACTGGGCAACTCAGAGTGAACCTGTCTCAAAATTTAAAAAGGGGCTGAAGATGTAGTTCCATGGTAGAATGGCCCTGTGTTCAGTCCAGAGAAGGAAAATAGGAAGGAGAAAGGATGTTCAAATGACCAAGGGATATCTATGTCTACCCAGCATCCATTCCCCACTCCCTGTTTCCCAGGAGAACCCAGGTTTCCATGTCTCCATGGGTCCTCTCTTCACCATGTAAGTGAATCCCACCAGGGTGGACCCTGACTTAGGCCCATTGGCCCATTCCATTTCCCTGATCACAAGCCATTGGTTCATGAATGATCAGGCCATCTGGGCTGGGCCAATCAGGTGATGGCTTGGAATCCTGAAGGGAAACTTTTTTTATATCTGACCCCATATATGGGGCTGGGAAGCATATGACAGGGGGCGTCTTTGGCCAACTTAAAATGCAGCTGACAGTAGGGAAGTTTAAATAGAGAAAACAAAAAAAAAGATAATCAATCTAAGCAACCCAAATAATAAATATAATGACATAGCGGAGGGCATTCAGACAGCTTGGGCTTAGATCCTGGACCTGCCACTGTTTAACTGGGTCACCTTGGTAAATGTAGCCTTTCTGAACCTCACTCTCCTAACATCAAAAACGTAGATAATAGCAAGGCACAGAAGTGCACACCTATAATCCCAGTGACTCAGGAGGCTGAGACGAGAGGATGGCGAGTTTGAGGACAAACTGCAACTCAACAAGACCTTGTCTCAAAATAAAACATAAAAAGGCCTGGGGACCCGGGCACAGTGGCGCACACTTATAATCCCAGCAGCTGGGGAGGCTGAGGCAAGAGGATTATGAGTTCAAAGCCAGCCTCAGCAAAAGCAAGGTGCTAAGCAACTCAGTGAGACCTTGTCTCTAAATAAAATACAAAATAGGGCTAGGGATGTTGCTCAATGGTCGAGTACCCCTGAGTTCGATCCCTAATACCAAAAAAGGCCTGGGGAATGTGGCTCAGTGATTAAAACTAAATGAATAAAAATGGGGATAATAAAGGTACTTCCTCCTTGGGTGACCAGAGGAAGAGATGAGAAAAGGTGTAACACCTGTGTCTGGCTCCAGGAACTGCCGGACATGCCTGGTTTTGTGTAACAAAACACCTCTTGCATGCTATTTCAGAGTCTTGGCCCCACATATCTCTTAATTCACTCCAACCAGTTCCTACAGCACCAAACTCAGCCCACATTGGTCTTTCTTCTCTGTTTTCTCCATGATGTTCTTGCTCAGAGTTCATACTAGCAAGACCCAGAAGTGCGGTTTTGAACAGCCTGTGGATAAGTACTTCCCCCACCCCTCCCATTGAAAGTTCCCAGCATGGTATTTCACACAGTGCAGGGCTCTGTGTGGGCTGAGAATTAAAACCAGCACTTTGGCTGGGCATAGTGGCACACACTCAGCAACTCAGCAACTCAGGAGGCTAATCCCAGCAACTCAGGAGGCTGAGGCGGGAGAATTGAGAGTTCAAAGCCAGCCTCAGCAACTTAGTGAGGCCCTAAGCCACTTAGTGAGACTCTGAGTCTAATAAATATAAAAAGGCCTGAGGATGTGGATCAGTGGTAAAGTGCCCCTGGGTTCAATCCCTGGTACCAAATAAAAATTAAAAAAAAAAAAAAAAAAAGAAGCGTGCTAAGTTTTGAGGGGTCAACCAATTGCCCCCAGCAATGGTCACATCATATCCCCTCCCCTAGGCCCCTGTCCCTCACCTCAGCTCTCCGTTTCAGTTTCTTCTTTCTGGGAAACCCAGACAGAGCTCAGAATACCTCTAGACAGGCACATTGTTGTGGATGGTTCTTCTTTTTCTTCATTTCCCTTATTATTTATTTATTTATTTATTTATTTTAATGCAGAACCAGGGGTTGAACCCAAGGCTGTGGGCAGCAGTCCTCATGCAGGACTCTATCACTGAGCTCCACCCCCAGCCTCCCCTCAGCTCTGTTTTCTAATTAGTCTTACAAAGCACACATCTGCATCTCGTGATTTTTAAGTCTTTTCCCCCCTCAAGCCTATAATCAAGCCTTCAAAGTAAATTGACCTTTGTTATAAAAGTAACATGAAATGAGGGTTAGAGAAAGTATGGAGATGTGATATTAATCTTTGCTAGCCAAAAAAAAATGCCCAACATGGAGTCCTCGCAGGAAGTGGGGGACGACGGAAAATAGGAGAGGAAGAGCCTAGTTATTCTCCCTGGTTGGTCCTGGATGTGCCACAGCGGCTCTGAGGCCAGTTTCTCAGAGGAGGGCCAAGAAGGAGGCAGAGAGGGAGGAAGGGCGTGTTGCTTTCCTTTGTTCTCCAGACTGGCTCCCTGAGGTGGGATTGAGGAGCAGGGCCCCTTCTGTTCCAGGCCTTCTGTTCAGCAGGGGTGCTAACTGGTTGACAGGCCCCAGTAAAGGTTGACTGGTTGACAGACTCAGAGGGGGACCGGAGGAGCGACAAACTGGGTGTGAAGGCCCCTCGCAGAGCTGGAGAGAGCCATTTGCCTGTGGCCCAGAAGGCACTTGGAACTGGACACTGAGGGGCAGCTCTGTGTTCAGGAGCAGGGAGTCACCTCAAGGGGCTTATAATTAAAAATCAGGGGGCTCTGCTGAAGACTGTGCATGTCACTGGGTGGAATTTGGGCCCTGGTGCTTTAGCGTCTGCCCACCAGCTGAGAACCAAAGCCCCATGCCAACCTCTGGCCTTTCCCTGTCCTCCCATGTCTGTGCGTCTGAGTGGCAGAGAGGAGCCCACACCCACGGCCCGGGCTGGACTGGAGGTGTTCCAAAGCACGGAAACTGGACAGGGTGTCCCAGAATTTGATGGCAAGGTCACCCTCTAAATCAAGCAGATAAAACCTCATAAATCAAAAATGATGAGAGAAGCCCCAGGAGTCCTGCCTCCTTGGGTGTAACCCACATGGAGGATTTTTTGTTTTTAATTCTTACTAATTACATTTTTAAATTATGATTAAGAAACACAATACGTAAGATTTATCACCTTAGCCACTGTTCAGTGTGCGCTCGTGTTATCAATATATACATTGTTGTGCAACGGGTCTCTAGAACTTTCTCAACCTGCAAAACTGAATCTGACCCATTAAACAACACCCATTTCCCTCCTTCCCCTGGTCCCTGGCAAAAAAACTACCACTCTACTGTCACTTCTAAGAGTGTACCTTAGGTACCTCATTCAAGTAGAATCCTGCAGTATTTTTGTCTTTCCGTGACTGGCTTGTTTCATTTGGCATAATGTCTTCCAGGTTCATCCATGTTGTAGTCCATGACAGGATTTTGTTTTTCATTTTCAAGGCTGAATACTATCCCCCTTGTATATGTAGTCAACTATTTTTGCTGCTTCTTATCCTGGTGAAGAGTGGAAAGAATGGCCTGGCCAAAATCCAGTCGTGTTGACTCATGTCTGTCCC